AACACATTCTATAGGAAAGATGGATTTGAGGACATATGTGATCCTGAGTGTAAATGTCAGGGTACAAGCAAAAATTCCAGGTAGTTTTGCAAACTTTCAAGGCAGTGGAACTGGTAAGACCCAAGTCAAGGTCTCCAGACAGTAAAGGGGGACCCAGGTAATATACGGGCTATAGATGGAACAAGCAGAAAATTTCATTAAGGTAGCATAGAGGAATATAGCCATAGGAAATAGGATGGCAGGGTAGGGCAGAGAGACCTGAAGGACCTAGGAGAGGTGGAGGGGTCTTCTGGGTTAGTGGTGGGCGGGGAGGGGTTGTGGACACACCCTCTTCAATTCACCCCACCCCCCGAAACCCTTTGTGACTCTTACGTGTTCTGTGATGTGAGGTTGGGGAGGATATATATTCAGCGTCTGCACACTTAAGAGCTCAGTTGCCTACAGGCAGCCTTGCGATTCAGACAATGGAGTTCAAAAATTGGAATGTTCTCTCATTTCTGAATACCTATACTGAACCATGTCTGAGCTTCAGCTCAACATGGTTGGAGATTGACCCCAACTTCACCTTCCTGTGTGGGTTGGGATTGCTTCTTCTGTTCCTGTGCTACCTGATGCTTCCATTTCCAACTTGGAAAACCAAACCCACCCAAAAGGTAAGGAGCCCTCAACACAGATTATTATGGTTTCCATTTCTAATCCCAAATCTTATTTACTTTAAAGATTTTATTTATATATTTGATAAATAAGACAGAGCCCAAGTTGGGGAGAAGGAGCAGAGGGAGAGGGAGAAGAAGGCTCCCTGTGGAGCACAGAGCCTGATGTGGGGCTTGATCCCCAGGACCCTGGAATCATGACCTGAGCTGACGGCAGATGCTTAACTTGACTGAGCTCCTAATCCCAAAATTTAAAATGAGTTTGGTAGGGTCAGAGAAACACCTAAAATGGGAAGTCTAAGAGAAGAGACATTCGCTTCTCTAGGACAGGAGGTCTGGAAGGGCTAAGGGTTAAGGAAGGACTAAGGTTTCTACTTCAAACTCACAGGCTATCTGGATGTGGTGGCAGGTCTTGGGTAAAATCCCAAACACAGGGATTCTGTAGTCCTTATTTAGAGAGTATGGAATCTGTACGAGAATGTTTCCCAGCATTTGATCATAAGTCACATTCCCATGTCAGGCATCACTCGATCAAGCCTTCATGTTGGGCTGATCAGGAGAATGGTGCTGAGCCTCTGGGAAGAGACTGGGGTCTGAACTACGTCCTAGGATACAGGGTCCTACCTGAGGGAGCACAGATGTGACTGTTGGACTTCATATTCTTTCTTTCTTTTTTTTTTCTTTAAGATTTTATTTATTGGAGAGTGTGAGAGCGAGCACAAGCCAGGCGGAGGGGCTGAGGGAGAGGGAGAAGCAGACTCCCCGCTGAGCAGGGAGCCCAATGTGGGGTTCGATCCCAGGACCCTGGGAGCATGACCTGAGCCGAACGCAGACGCTTAACCGACCGAGCCACCCAGGCATCCCAAGAGAGAGCATAGGCAGGGGGAAAGGCAGTGGGAGAGGGACAAGCAGACTCGCTGAGCAGGGAGCCTGACATGGGACTCGATCCCAGGACCCTTGAGATGATGACCTGAGCCAAAGGCTGACGCCTAACTGACTGTGCTACCCAGGCGCGCCCAGACTTCATTTTCTATGTCCTCATTGAACAAAGGACTTCTGACTGAGACTCTCAAGTGTGGACCTCCCAGATAAAATCCTCCTTTAAATTTTTTGAAGAAATATTGAAAACATTTTATCACCTTTAAAAATCGATAAAAGCAAGGAACACAAAGTTCTATTAATTGAAATAAAGTCGTACTATTCTTGGATAAAGAATGTCTCCATTTTAAGAGTGACGGATGAGTCCCAACCCCCCCCCCATTCTTTTATTTTTGTTCTAGCGTCAGGGCAGAGCCAAGAGGAGGAGGAAAGGTGGGACTCTGAAAGGTAAGATTCTGCCTATTCTACCTGAGCTCTCCAAGGGTGACCCTTCCTGTCCCTTCCATGAGGGCTCAGGCCCATGACCTCTGAGGAGTCCAGCTGCTAGACACAGTCCCTCTTAGAAAACAGAGGCCTCAGAGCAGTCAGAACCTGAGACCCTTAGATTCCCTGCTCTGACTCTCTTCCTGAGCATGAAGCAGTGATGGATCTGGGCAGTGGGTGTTGCCCAGAAGGTGGCTGTGTGAGATGTCAAGAGTCAGAACTTCTGTCTCCTGACTTTGTGAAAGACTTGTGACATCATGGATACTCAGGACCGACTTTGTGAAAGACTTGTGACATCATGGATACTCAGGACCCTTCCCTGAGGTAACCACTGACCTCTGTGCTTCACAGAGGTGGTCTGAGTATCACATGAGATAATTTACATGAAAGTACTTTATCCATGAAGCAAGAATACTAACCAGGATCACATCATTGACCATTTGACCTCATCTATTGATTATTGGGGCTTTCAGAGTCTAATATCCCATGGGTGTCCCAGAAGGGGACTCCTGTATTAATGCCTATGTTTCTACTTTCACTACATATATCCCATTCTCCCGGTTTCCCAGACTACAGATGCTCCCAGAGAGAAGATGAGGAAGTCCGGAAGCTGATGTCTGTTTTAAGAAGGTGACCAGTCTTTCCCCTTTTATCCTGATCCCTCTTAGAGGACGTTTTATGCAATTGTAGGATTCAGTGCAGCCTGCTATAGCCATGGGAGGGGGTAGCCATAGGAACAGGTATTGGGGTGAAGGCTATTGAGTACGTTGTGAAGTCATAAAGGGGGGGGCTTTGGGAGGGGTCAGCAGGCTTCAGGTGGCCCCTCCCTCTTGCCAGGCCAGCATGTCCTCCTTCCCTTGTCCTGGTCCTGGCTGCAGCTTTGTACCTCCTGTCTCCTGCAGCCCCCTAGGCCGGCATCATGATACCATCCACTTTCGTCAACTGCTATGTCCAGACCCCTCCTGTGAGGTGTGTAATAGGACAACTGCTGAGATCAATCGGCTGCTGTTCCCAGAGGCCCTGGAAGATGCTACTCCCTTGGCTTCCACAGCCTCTGTGACTTCCTCATCGTTCACTCTCTCCCCTGACTCCTCAGCAGGCCCTCCAGGAGACCTAATATCAGCTTCTCTGCCTGAGCCTTCCCCACCACCTGCCTCCATCTTCTCACCTAACCCAGTGACCCCCTTGGCTGACTTTTTTCCACCCTCACCACCGGGTGATTCTTTGCCACCAGAGTCTTTTCCTCCCTTGGATTCCGAATTCCCAAAGGACAATTTCCCACCCCAGTCCCTTGCCTTTCCTCCAATCCCACCAAATGATGCTCAGACAGTGGATCCTGCTGTCCATCCAGAGGCCACTTTGTCTCTAAATACTGAGACCTTTGCTTGTCCTAATGCACCACCAACCCTGTCTGGTTCACCACCGCCAGACTGCAGTTTAACTATGACTCAATCTAAATCGATTTCCATCTCAATGACGCCTGTTCCAGAGATCTCATCTCCAGATAGCTCTGGTGGGTTGCCTACTTATGTCCCGACAATCATGGGCATTAATGCTCCCAGATTGTCAATTTTAGACTTCCCTTGGTGGCAAACTCATGCCAAAGACTTCCTCCCTTCAAATTTGGCTCCATATAATGTCCATCACGAGTTGCTGGCCCTCCATTCTTCAGAGGCTTCTTCCAGGGGAGACCCTGCAGCCAAGCTTGTGGAGCCTGCTAACCTCTCACTTCTCAGCCCTGATGTCCTGGCACTCCTAGAGAAACAAGTCCAAAAGAGGAGTGACTTCTGGATGTGGAAGGAAAGGAAAAAGGGTTCTGTTCCAAAACAAACAACTGCTGATAAACATGACTTGGCAGTCCCCCTTCCTTTCTGGAGCAGCAAAGACCAATCAAGGGAGCTGTATGTACATTGGCAGCCCCCATATCCTACAACCACCTTAAAGGAGGGCCATTTACAGCAAACCCCTATCCAGCTCTTCTGGGGTCTCCCAACTCTGCATAGTGAGTCCTTGTTCTCTGCTGCCCATGTCTTGGATAGTTATTCTTCCATCTTCATTTTTAACAGAATCTCGAATGCCTCCACAGAGCAGGAATCCCCAGTAGTTCCCCATCCTCTTCCTCTGTGCTTGCCTGAGAACCAGCCCCAACCCCAGCCCCTACCTATCCCTCAGGTCCAGCCCCAGGCCCACCTTCAGTCCCCACTCCCAATCCTGCCATCTGGTCCTCTAACCCAGATTAAGGTCTGTGGAGTGTGTTTTCACAGACCTGAGAAGGAATCAGAATGTCTCCTGTCAACTGAAATGCAACAGCTGGAATGGAACATGTTGCAGAAGGAACAGGAAACTGTGTGGGGTTTACCCGCTGTTGTCCAAAGATCCCAGGAGGACTTCTGTCCTTCAGCTCCTAACCCTTCTCTTAATCACCGGGCCTCCCAGGCCCGTGTTGCAATCTCTATCCTTCCTGGGCAGTTTCCTCTCACTGATGAGCTTCGAACAAAACTAGAGCGTCACCTTCGAAAGAGGCTCATCCAACACCGGTGGGGCCTGTGCCGCAGGATCTGTAAGTCTCTATCACTGATGAGTCCAAGTATTTTTTCAGAGACCCCTAACTTGCAGCGCTATCATGGACGCACATGGATCTCTAAGAGTGAGAGTAAATTGAGCGAATCTGAAAGCTCTGAGGGGGACTCAGAAATGATTCAGCTAGAGGATGATGACCTGGAGAAGGACAACGATGACCTGGAGAAGGATCAGGGACCCAACCCAGAGAATGGCCCAAAAGATTATCTGTTGAGTGACCCAGAGAGCTCTTCAGGTAATGTTATGGGGTATGATTCTGAAAAAGAACTTAGGAGCCCATCAGAGAAAAACTCAACAGTGTCTGTGGAGACTTTAGGTCAGAGACAACTTGAAAATGTCTTGAAAATACATTTGAGCAAAAAGTTTGAGGAAATCAATGAGGGTCAGCTCCCCAGGACTGTGCACAATTCATGGCATAGTATGAAGCAGACATCGCTTCTTTCTGAGAACTCCCACACTGAAATAAAACAGAGAAGTTTGCCACCATCAGAGGTTCAGGACTACTCCCTGAATACCTTCCAGGAGCTTCCCTTTATTAAATCTAGTGCACAACAGATGCTGGAAGCCCATATTAAAAAGTTTCATATGAGGATGACGTGGGGCCTTCCCCCCAGGGTCCTTGAATCCATAGAGCTCTTTAAACTGATAAAGGACACATCCCATTCTAGCTTTTCCTCCTCAACCAACCTGATTTCTGAGGTAAATTCCAAACCGGGGGGCTTCAACTCCCTTAGAGGCAGCTCTAAATCTCTCCATGGAGACAAAGTGGGAACAGCAAATTCAGCCCCCATCCTGGATCATCCTCTCCCTGCCGCCTCAACTGTGGGCAAGGAAGAACAGAGAATTCCGAGGCAATCACCCTCTGCTTTCAACCATGAGTTTGTAGAGGATGTTCAGAAGATTAAGGATGGCACACAGACTCTTACACCCAACAAACATGACACCAGAGGCAACAGATGGCCCCCAAAGCTGCCTGCAAGGCAAGCTGGGGCCAGACATGAGCCAAAGGATAAGAGTGCAAATTCTAGAGGTAGAGGAGGAATGCAACAGGGCAAAGAGAAGAATCTAGAACCTGTCATTGTGCCCACAGTGTCCAGGGAGATATTCAGGGCCAAGCAACTTGATGCTCATCAATCACAATCTAATACCTTGACAACCAGCACGCCAGTAAGCTCCCAAATCATAAAGGTGAATGATAATAAAGTCAAAACTACCATCCCCATTAAAAGCCCCCCACCAAACCTATCAATTCCCCAAGATCCTAAATCCTCAAGCCTTAAAGAACAACTGTTGTGTGAGTTAAAGATTAAACTGGAAAAAAGAGAGCGTAGCCGGGCCCAAGCCCAACGCACTGGCCTGCCCCCTGCCTCAGAGAGTTTGACTTACAAGGCCTCACTGACTCATGCCCAGGGTGTCTCCAGTGGGGACATGGGAGCTTCTCAGGTGCTGCATGTCCATCCAGAGGACACAGGAATTAGTATGGAACAACAGCAGAAGCCTTGGGTCCCTAGGCATGTCTTAAGGAAGTGCCAGAATAAGAATCTCCCACCAGCTGCGGTGACCATGAGCCCTCCGGGCTCCAAGGCACAAGAGCTTGGTGGAGGGGATGCAGGACTGGGGACATCCCAACTTAAAAGGAACAGTTTCCCTACTGAGGATGTGGCATTGAAGAAGAGGTTCCCTACTCAGGACGTGCTACTGAAGGAAAAGCTGGGAAGCAAGCCTTCCCAGACCCTATCACAGAAGGGTCAGCCGCCTCCTGAAAGCCTTTCCCAGAAGGGTCAGCCTCCTTCTGAAAGCCCTTTCAGAAAAAAAATGAAGCATTTTTTGCAATGGCTTAATCCAGGGATAAAATGCAAGAGGCAAGAAAACTCCCAGGAGAAGCGCAGCCCTCTATCATCTGTGGAAAGCAGAGGCCTACTTAAAGGTAGAACTGCCTTTACTGGGACAACCAAAGCTCAGAAATCCATGACAGACGTTGGGGAGTTCCTAAAAGAGAAAGTGGGGCGTTGGCATGCAATAGATAGCACCTGCCCTCAACAGCCCATTCCCTCCCCAACCAAGTATGGGAAAACTCAGCAGGAAGCACAAGTGCAGGCCCAGGCACAGCCTGTCCAGGGGTATCCTTTCAACTACAGGGCTCCCTCCTGTAAGGTGACAAATACCAAGTCCTGCCACCAACAAGCTGTCTTTGCTGGCCAAGGCCATCCTGGAAGTATTAGACAGATCAGAGACAAGGACAGACAGCCACAGAAAGCTGTGGCATTTAAGGACCAGCGACTGCATAACAAGTATCCCCTATCCACGCCCCACAGGGAGCCTGCACCCCACCCACATGCCACCTGCAGGCATCAAGCTGGCCGGGGGCCTCCGGCCACTCACCACTGCCCAAGGCACTGTGTTCAGAGATCTGACTCTACTATTTAGACCGAAAACCCTTCTCCAGAATTTCCAGGGGGGGATATTTCCCACCCCAAAATAATCCCTTGTGAAGAATATTGATTCTCTCCAATAAATGTTTCTCTAATAATAGCAATGTCTTTTCTGTGTACTGTACTGGGGGCATGGGTTTCAGGTAACTCAGTTCAGCTGTTACTGATTGCTTCCTTTGGCTTCTAAAAGGTGACTAGTCTCCCGGAGCTCTTGAGAAATAGATATCATGTGCCCCCCAAGACCCCCAAAGCCTAATTCCTGATGAAGTTTGAGGAGATGGGCTCTGTCTCCTGCCCTTTGGCTTAGCCTTACTGAAAATGTATAGTAGCTCACACCTTTGCCCTCATTGAATGTTTTATACCCTTTAGAGCAAGTGTTCTAGGATCAAACACAGGTATAGTTTTCAGAAAATAATGATTAAGCCACTGTTTTTACTTCACTGTTACTACACAGTAGCTTAATCATTCTGTAGAAGTCAGTGATCAGAGGATCCCACAGGTGGGTGAACTCTGAATGGGAGTGTTTGGGGGAGGGTGTCGTCCCAGTTGACCTTGGGCGGTTGGGGTAGGGTCGAAGAACAGCATAGATGCTGCTTAAGAATCTGTCATGTGAGTCACGTTAAACTTGACATTGAGGTGTCCCACTGGAAGCGCTCCCCTTCCCTGGGCCTTTCTTCAGGCTGCCCGACTGATGACGTTTTGTGCAGAACAAATGCAGAACAAAAGCATCACTTAGCTGTTAGTGGCAGGAATGTTGACCAGGCAGCTACCACCTTCCAGGGTAAGACACCTTTGAAGAAATGAAAAGTTGAAAGAGTGACCTTGCTGGTGGAACAAAGACTTATGTCTACTCATCCCCTTATCTTGACCCTGTCCTGCTCCCCTTCTTCCTCAGTCTGACATAAGCACCACCACTTTGAGGCCAATGGGAGCACGGCACAGCCTACTGATGCCTTATACCAAAAAGGCATGGGGCTGTTCCTTGAGTACTCAAACAATATCTGCAGGCTGTCGGGCATGGCATCCCCTTTGGCGATCTTGGTGCCTTCCTTCCATCCATGCTTGATGGCAATATGTCAGATATTGCTTTCAGTATGGACAGGATGGAGGTGCCACCTCTCATATTCACTGGCCTTAGTGGAGCCATGGTAGATCTTCTCCAGAAGATGTGCAACTTATGAGCCAGAGGTGAGTTCTCGACTGCGTACCAGGGTACAGATATTTGGGTGCTTCTCATGGAACTCCATGGAATGCTTTTTTTCAGCCACGACTGCACACGTACGCACACTTACAATAGGGTTTTGGAGGGAAGGCAACTCCATTTGAGACTGGGACTCAAAAACGGGGTGAGTGTCCTAGAGAGCACCTGAGGTAGTCTTCTGGACAGACTCATGACTGTTCAGTGCTAAAACAAAAAACCAGATGTCGACGACCTCTTTCACTACCACACTTGTACCTTCTTGTCCAGGGTTATCATTGACCATACAGTATCTGAATGTTAGGGTCACAGAAAGAATGCAGATTTTGATGCTGTGGAGGCCCTGAGAGGGACAATAGGTGGGATGGGGCCAACGGCAGGGAACCTGAAGAAGTGAGGAGGTCCTGGAGGCTCTAACATCTATGTGGATAAACCAGCCAATAACACAGCCTGCCAGTTCCTACATAATCTCATTTTAGGGTCCCTTATGGCCAATCCAGTGCAGTTACCACTCCTCTGTAGAGCTTATTACTGGGAATACTTCTGGCATCAGGAATAGTATAGTCTGACATTCTGTCCTTTTGCCTCATCCCCCCATCCTTCCAGTGTATATGTCCCCTCTTTATTTTTCAACTCCTCGTCATTCATTTTCCACTTCTCGCCTATCTACCAAGGCCTTGTCGTCCTTTCCTCACTCTCCAAGGTAGAACTGATGGCTTATCAGGTAACCAACATGTAAAAAGCTCCAGTACAGCATAGGAAGTAGAGTCCATGGTATTGTAATGGTGTTATCTGGTGACAGATGGTAGCTGTAGTTGTGGTGAGCACAGCATAGTATCGAGTTGTATACCTGAAACTAATGATATTGCATCAACTATTCCATTAAAAAAACCCAAAAAACAAAACAAAAAAAACCAGGCTCCAGTACAAGTGGGCCCCATCTAATCCCCTTCAATCCTTCCTGTCTGGCAAAATCTTGTCTCTCTGCCTTTTCTAGAAATGCCTTTCCGTAAGTATCTGATTACTGTTGGATTAAATCTCACGTCTCACAATTGAGTCTACTCACAATTGAGAGTACTGAGGCCACAAGAAATTCAGCCCCAGCACTACCTGGAAATCATTCACTGATTCCACAGATACTTATCCCAGGCTTACTAACGTGAACAAAATAAATGGGAGTTAGGTCACTATTTCCTTAGTACATTTTCTCCTGTTACTCAGATCTATTTTTATTTTATTTTAAATTTTATTTGAGAGACAGCACAAGCACTAGCAGGGGAAGTGGCAGAGGGAGAGGGAGAAGAAGACTCCCTGCTGAGTAGGGAGCCCCCCATGGGGCTCGATCCCAGGACCCTGGGATCATGACCTGAGCTGAAAGCAGCCGCTTAACTGACTGAGCCGCCCAGGCGCCCCTCAGATCTATTTTAAACTTCCTTCACTTTCTTCAAACTTAGGCCATCTTCACTTGCCCAGCAGATGTGCTAGACCACAGTTCACAAGCGTGACGTGGGAGCTTTTCACAAAACAAAAAACAAAACAAAAACCTTCCAAAAAGTATTTTCCTATTCCTCTTTTTCCTCTTCCTGTTATATGGAAAGAGGTTTCCTTCCCAATCTCAAAGGAAACATACTTTTTGAAATGTCTTCATTGAGAGATAGCTAAATTCTAGTCTCGATGGACTGATCTACCCTTTCCACGTCTCCTTCTGCCCCTCTTCCTGTCCTTCTGAGGCACCCAACATCTTTTTTTTTTTTAACGCTTTTTACTACAGAAACGTTTAAATACGTACAAGAGCAGATCGAACAATATAACTTCCCACATATCCCTCACACAACTTGCACTATTATCATTTGGCAGGTGTGTTACACCCATCCCATCTTTTACACTATGATTAAAGTGCAAAAGCCCATTTAAACATCTTGCCATCCCTCTCTGAGACATATGCCATGTGCCCATGTCAAAGCTCTCACATTTCTTTGATATTTATCACCTGCGGAACATACTCACAACAGATGTATGCAGCATTGGTGACGAAAAACCACTGAGCTTTAGAGGCTTTGGCAATCAGTTCTGCTCTGCCATATAGTCAACCCTGAGGAGCCATTTGAGTGAATTCCTCAACTCCACACAAGAAGTAATCTTCCAGAGCAAATTCAGGGCACAATTTCACTGTCCCTTAATCACACAGTAACTGTAACTTTCAAAAAACATAGGAGAACACTTTATGTTGTTAATAAAGACTTGACACTGCTCTGTTTTCAAATATTTAGAAGAAAAATTTGTCCTGTCACTTTTCAAATGAACTATTGTGTTTCAAGTTAAATACAGTAGATCAAACACTCCCCTCTTTCCCAAAATGCCATTAAAAGTAAAAGATGAGATGAAAAAAATGCTCAATATCATTAGCCTTCAGGAAATGCAAATCTTAACCAGTATTTGCTAGCGCTTCACACCCACAAGGATGGCTAAAATCAAAAAGAGAATACAAGTGTTGGTGCGAATGTGGAGAAATTAGGACCCCCACACAATGGTGGGAATGAAACATGGTGCAGTCTTGGAAAACACGCTGGCAGCTGCTCAAAATGGTAAACATAGAGTTATCATATGACCCAGCAGTTCCACCTCTAGGTATATACTCAAGAGAAATGAAAACATAGGTCTACACAAAAACTTGTAGACAAATGTTCACAGCTATCTTATTCATAAGGTCAAAAGACAGAACAATGCAAACATCCATCAACTCAGAAATGGGCAAATAAAATATGACAGATCCATATGATATATTTTTTGGATTAAAGAAGACCAATCCATGCCACAACATGGAAGAACCTTGAAAACATTATGTGAAATGAAAGAAGCCAGTCACTAATGACCACATATAATTCCATTCACATGAAGTGTTCTGAATAGGGAAGTCTAGAGACAGAAAGCAGATTCATCTTAGAGCTGGGGGGAGGACGGGAGAGGGGAATGATAGCAAAAGGGTGCAGATATTTTTCTCTCAAGCCATGACAATGTTTTAAAATTGATTGTGGTGATGCACGTGTCTGTGCATATACTGAAAATGAAGGAATTATACACATTAAATCGGTGACCTGTATGGTATGTGAACTACATACCATAAGTAAAAGTTTTAAAAATAAGTGCTTAAGGATGACAAGAAGGGGAGCATATAAGACAAAAGATGTCAACATATTTTTGGAAGATGGAAATCCGGTGGAGGAGTGCTAACTGACTAGCAGAGCAAACAAAGTGCTGGCAAATCATTCACACTGCAAAACCCAGGAGACGAGCAACCTGGTGGCACTAGAGAAAAAGAAATGAGGGGTTCCGTGTTAATAAAAAAGTTGAATTTTTGTTCTTTTTTTGTTTGTTTTATATTGCACATAATTTCTAAAATCTCTTTTTTTTTTTTTTTTGAGTGGGGGTGCTCTTTGCCAGTATTTTGTAAAACCTTGTTGAAATGTTAGCATGCTTCAAATGTGCAGAGAGGATCCCAGGTTTCTTGCGTGGGACAGAACCTGAGACAACTGTTTTAAAGTTGGCATTGCACACGTCTGGGGTCTGAGTATGGTGGAAGCAGCAGCAGCTGGAATCAAAGCCAGAAATCTCAACGGCTGGGTTAAGTTCATTTTTGAAATGTAAGTATTGGAAAATAAACTTGTGCCGAAGTTGCATACATGGTAAAACCATACCATTTATACAGATTTACCTAGTAAGATTTTGACCTGTTTACAATCTCTCTCTCCTTTCCTCCTTCCCCTTCTCTCTACATAGGAACACACGTATACACGTAGAAAAATTATGCATACATTCTTGAATATTTGAGAATACAT